GCATTAACTGCTATTAAAGGAAATAGATATTTGATATATCTATACATACATAAATATACGAGGGCGGTTTGATAAGTCCTTTTGAATTTCTCGCGCAGTTACTCCAAATGCAACAGTTCTACCGTCAGCTGTAATCTATCAGTGGGCAACTTTCTAATTTTGAGCAAGCTACATCGTTCAGTTTACGAAAATGAAAATAAGTGAATTTCGTGTGTTGATTAAGCATTACTGGCCAAAATCCACGATTTGGGATACGAGCTGCTACCCCATCCAGCATATTCTCCAGATTTTAGGACAATATTGCGTCTATTTTCAAAACCTTAATGAAATGTTTGGGCTTTCAACCACTCCGTATTTTGAGAGCTTTGAGAAAACTTATTATTTGGAGGGAATAAGTAAATTGGAAAAACGCTGGACTAAATGTATCGAGCTAAAAGGTGATAATGTAGAAAAATAAATTGTTTATTTGCCGAAAAAAATTAGTTTTTATTCAAAAAGTCACTGACTTATCAAACCACCCTTGTATGTAGAAGTTTTTTAGCCTCAACTCTATCCATAAACTGGTATAGAGGTTTGCGTTAGCATAGATCTCATGATTTTCGGCAGTAAGGTCCAAGTCCTCATTTGCGATTGTATGCATTGGAAATATATCATTTCTGATGTGAAACAAAAGCGATCACACGATACACTAACGATTTCAAAACTTGACAAGACTCTTCGTGCAGTGGTACGAACAATCGTGCAGATTGTGGTGATAGTCACAATTTTGCACTCTATAAGTCGAGGTGCATGCGATTTTGGTTCTTGAGTCAATGTTACTGAAGGCAGATATTCTAACAGTAATCAAATCATTATTATTTAAAAACTCAGCTTAATATTTTCGTCGAACATAATGGTTCGCTGCAGCTACTGGCAAGCAAAAACCGGGTAGTTGGCATACTTGAATAGATAGCAATGGATTCGAGATTAATCCAACTAGAAACTGATTATTCATTTAGTTCTATGGACTGAAGTTTAATTGTGTAATTAGTTGCTTCATAAGAAGGTATCTTATAAAAAAAGTGAATAGCAACTAGAGTCACTATAGGATGCAGGCTACAGTGATCCATCATCATTTCCAGCTAACCTTACCAAATGTAAGCAACAATCAACACAATATAATTCTAAAAATTCACTTCAAAACTCTAATTGGCTATGACTCTCTATAGTTACCTACACGTAAAAATCGAAGTATGATTTATTGAGTGGCTATTCATACTTGAATCGATAATCGACAAAAGTACGAATAAATTCACAAGAATCGGAATTCTGCAAACGACGTCCTATTGTAGAATAAGTTATAAATATAATACATAAAGATATAATTTTTCCAAACAGAGTTTTTATGATCTATAAGTGAAATTAAGGTAGCAGATATCCTTCATAAGATCACATAAGTGAAGAGTATGAATAATATTAAAATATTATATTTAAATTTAATATTTAAATTATTTTTAAAAGCAGAATACTATATTAAGTATATATTTCTTTTAATATTAACTGCAGAGTTTTCATGATCTATAGTGAAATTATGAGCGTTTCTTATATACTGCTATGACAGATAAGGAACGTTTTCCTTCACAAGATCACATATGTGTAGATTATGAAGAATATAAATATTACATTCAAATGTGATCTTTTAAATCTTATTAAAAGCATAATAATATATTAAGATACAAGGAGGTGGCTGTAATGTGGTAACCCTGCTCTTAGTTTCTTAGCTGCATTTTTCTCTATAAGAGTATACGAGTATTTATGATATGTTCTTAAAAAAGTTTTTGGAATGACAAGATTTACAAACATTTTCGCATTTCTGATAATAATACTAAGTGACCACTAAACTTAGCTTATTAATATCATTAAAAATTTAGCTAATCGTTTTTAGGTCAATTATATTCTACATTGCAACTATAATTGGTTATTTAAAGTATATTAATAATGGAAGCTTGTAGTGAAAATGTATTATATATGCTGTGTTATACTCTTAATGTTATGGGATGTGGCACTGCGACCGTCGGGTATTTTGTGCCTCCTTCAGGGTTTAGAGTAGATCTCTAAACCCTGTTACGTCAATAAAAAGTAGTATAGAACCTACTTTACAGAGTTTTATTGCCTCCTCCGTAAGAATATACATATCCAGGAGCCTATTCCGTATGTGCGATAGTTTGCATCTGTATGTATACCCTATCTCGTAAGATGGTATTTTAGTTTGCAGTGTTAGAGTCCTTGTTAGGATTCCTGTTAGGATTCTAAGTTTTTCTTTTAATAGGTTCATACACACTCTTATTGTTATAGGTACCAATAAGTGATTTGGATTATGTTAATCCTGGTACATTATCCCAGTAATCTTTTTTTATTTTGGTTCTCCTTTATTATATATGTTAATAGTATATATAAATAAATAATTCAGTTAAAATTACTCCGTGTGAATACTAGTCAAAGTGCAAAGACAAAAAATATAGCAGAAATATATGCATAACTGCTTCCATAACGTTCAACACTTCAAAGCAATAAAAACTTACACAAACTTGAGTGTTTAGACTACACAGTAGACTGGCTTGTGTCTATTATTAGAAGCTATTTTAAGCAATCAAACTTAAGCCGCTCGTACCCAGACTCAACGATCGAGGGTGCACTATTGATGCGCATGTGTACATTACACACTTAAAAATATCATTGCACAATTCAATGTAAACATTAAACTCTTCAAGCAACAACAACAATAATAACAACAAACACAAAGCCAAACAACTTTATCAGGTGCTGGGGGTCTTTAATATGCTCCAAATGTCATAATTCTAATTAGAAATTGTTGTGTGTGCAGCTACTGTCGTTATTGCTTTTGTTGTTGTTTGCGTTTGTTTCCTTGTGCAAGTGTGTCGTTACGAATTTTTTGTTTGGGATCATTTAACGCTGCTTGCATATTTTAGCTATCATTCAATTTGTTGTTGTGGTTTTTCTTTATTTTCTTCAATTTGTTTTTGTATATGCATTTGTATAGCAAATTGATTTGATTGGTTCAACGTTTTGTAGAGTTTAGTTTTTTTATATTTTTAATGCATTTTGTTTTTTGTTCTTTTAAATGGTTAGAGTGCCCTTTAATATATTTAGACTTGTTTTTATTTAAATTAAAATGATTTCCTTCATATGGGGTCGGTTTGGGGAACGTTTTTTTTATAGATTTAGAAAACACATGTTTTTATTATTTTTATAACGACTTTTTCTGGATCAGTAAAAATAGTTCTTTAGTTGAAAGTGTTTAATAGTGCTATTTTAAGAAGTGCAATCGGTTTTATTGTGGCTGCTAATTAAGAATATTCTGACAAAAGCTATAATAATTCATTATCTGTTGCAGGCAACCTATATTTATCTATTAGTATATCACAGTGTATAAGTATATAAATGAATAAATTCTACTTTAAGAAAAAAATTAAGTTTCTATAGATAAAATATAATTAAAACATCAGTTGTCGTATGCTACATTTATAATAGGTGATATAAAAAGTAATCGCTGTTTTCTGCTACTGGTGGTATCCATATATTTAGCAGCATTAACCCGATTATGTCAATGAATATGTGTTAGAAAGCTAATATTTTAGTTATATTGATTTAAAACCGAATGAAATATCTGAACAAATACGATAGATGATGCTTTATTACTACAATACTACAATATAAGTATATGACAGGTGAAACTGATGCAAATATATAACAAAAAATTTATACGGTTTACAATGAAGTTGTTATGAGTAAAGTGCGGACCTAGCAATAGTTTGTTTGAACTCGTTCCGGAAATTTCTATTTCATTTGGTCAAGTATTTCGCCGATAAATCACAGAAGTGCTACATTGATGGAACTTATGAAACTACCCGAAGAATGACAAAACTCTTGAATAAAAATGACAAATGTAAACTTTATAACATTCATTTTCATTAGAGCAATTTTTCAATTTCTTCAAAATTGTCTCAAAAAAAGACGGATATTTTCTTATCACCCAATATCTTTATATTTGCAGATATGAACATGGGCGTACACAGGTAGGGGCACAAATAAAAACGACTTTTTTGTGAACTAAATCTAATTTTCAAGTTTTCAATGAACTAGGCGTGAAATATATTAGCTAATATAAGCCAAAAAGAAAAAGAAAAAAGTAGTAAAAAGTACCTTAGCACACTTTAAAATACATAATATCATATCAGTATATCAGCGCCCGCTAATTTCGACCCTGGGTACGCCCATAGATATGAATGCTAGAAAATATTAATTTTGCTTAGAAGCAAATTTATAGTTTTTAGTTAATTTAACAATAGAATAATAATATTGTTAGAATAATAATAGTTTACGAAGAATAGATAAAGAAATAAATCTAAGCCACATCTAAACACAGGCTAACGAATCATTTCGTTAGCTTGTGACCTAATCATCGAAAGTGATCAATTGATAACCAATATACGGGTCCTACCTTAAACAAATAAAGTGCCGCCGAGGAAACAGTCTGACATATGAGAGGGATAGATTTTTGTCTGTGCAAACTTAGGGCATACCACCAAAAAAATAAAAAAATAAATTTTATATATTTTATATATTTTTATAAACCAAAAACTATTATATGTAGTTTTAAATAATATTTTATGTGATATTTTCAGGCCTTTGTAGTTTTTGTACTTCCTGTTCCTTAAGTAATTTGATTTCATGTTTAGAATACATAATTGATGCAAACCAACTATTGACTTTATTTGGTGAAATTCTATTAGAAATTGTGAAAAATATTAAATTATTATTAATACACAATAACAACCACATATATAATTACTCTATGTATTTTGTATATGCTGATACCAAGTCAGGAATTGTTATATTTTCCTCATTCCGCAGCAATCCTTGAATAATGCGTTTGGCAACTTTCTCACCACTCTGTATTGATAAAAATATGTTCGACATATTTATGTTCTGAATTTTTTTTAGAATTGCCGCATTTGTATCTAAAAATACTGGAAAAACTGTTGTTGTTCTGATGTTTTGACACCCCTTTATAATTTTTAACTCCAATCTTAAAACTTCCATTAATCCACGTACTCCATATTTCGTACTGGTATATTCTGCACTAAAAACCAAAGGCATTAAACCTTAAGTCAAAAGGATAAGTCAATAAATATTTATTGAATTAAAAAATCATAAAAAATATTTCATTAACTAACCTGCAACAGAACTTATAGCAACAATGTGACCTTTATTCAATTCCTTCATATTTTGTAAAAATACACGATTTGTCTAAAGTGATTAAATTTAATATTAAGAATAAAATTTTATCCTTTGAATCTTGTGCGAATCTAAAAAAAATATATACCCATAAATGTGATGTCAAATTAACATTAATCATTCTTTGAACTTCTATTGGATCGGGATTGACAGGGTCAGATAATGTAAGTATACCAGCATTATTTACTAATATGGTGGCTTTTCCTATATCATTGCTAATATTTTTATTAAGTTCCACTACCTCGTCGTAGTTTGTAACATCGACCTAAACCCAGAATAATTTATATACATATATATTCTATAAATTTAAATGTATTATAATGTCAAACCTTATAAGCTTTCGTTTTCACTTTATATTTTTCATGAATGGATTTCGCCGTTTGTTCCGCTAACTCAAAATTGACATCAACAATCACAATGTGGCAACCTTGTTTAGCGAGTTCGACAGAAATAGCTCTGCCAAGACCTCCTGCTCCCCCAGTTACCTATAGGCAAATAATTTAATAATTTATGTACATAATCACATATTTCGAATACTCAAACGTTTTTTTTACAAAACTTCTTGAAGGAAAGGGGGTTATATTCAAGTTTTCGTTATTGTTTTTATTTGATATAATATTCCCTCGTATATTTTTGAGTAAATTTTACTTGAGTTTTACTACGAGTAACACTTTGTATATACAAGTGTGTTCCATCTACAAATTTTCGTGTACTTTCATGTAAATTTTACTTCTGTTTTACTTGAGTTTTACTACGTGTAGCTCGTGGAACAGACCTAATATATAATAGAAACGGAAGTTCCCATTGGCGCAGATTACTGCGAACATTGCTAATTTTTTGAGCTGCAACTGACTCTGACCCAACAAAAAATTTAGTTTTTCCAATAAAGTACAGGAACTAGCTATATAAGAAGTTTTTAATTTCAGAATATTCAACTATAAGCCCCATCTTAATATTTTTCTAAGACTCAGATCAGTGCCGCTTAGTCCTAATAAATGTGATGACAATTCTGATACTAAACGTTACATTTTAAAATCAAATAAAAAAATTACTTGTGCTTACATTCGTTCTAGAAACAATTTTTAGCCATTATTTTTTCAAACATTTTCAAACCGTTGAAAAAATAAATTAATTAAATAAATTACGTGAGCTTAATAAATTTTTTTCACTAGAAGTAAGTGTCTAGCCGGAGAGTAAATATTCTATCTGCGGTGAAGTTTCTGATTTTTAATGGGGTGAAAAGTTTATGGCTGATTATCATTTTGCTGAATAATTATATTACATAAATGGTTACTTGTTGCCCATATTCGCTACATCTTAATTAGCAAAGTCGAATTGTATCCATCGTTTTATAATCATTTCCACTATTCCATATTAGTACGGACATATCTTATACTCTCGCCGAACATCAACAAGAGTCCAAATAAGTACACTTACTGTGTACTTAAGTACTGTAATGTACTTACTGATTCTGTGTCCAACTAGTATGCTGTAAATTCTTTACTACCCAGTGCGTAATTAGTCTTAAATAAATATTTCAGATTAGATTAAATAGAATGAATAATTTTATATATTGTTGATGATATATCTGAAGTTCATAACAAAATTATTATTTATTAAATTTCAATATATGTACTTAGAGATTAAATGTACTGCATTTATTATATATTGGTTCACAATATGTTATATATATCATATATATGTATATAGATATGTATATATATTGTATATATTATTCACAAATTACCACAGCAATTTCTCCAGAAATACTTTTAACACTTCCAAAAAGTTTTTGGTAAATTTTAAATAACACATCTAACAATATCGCGATAATAATAAATAAATTTATCAAAATCGTTCCAAGTTGATCTAAAAGGAAATTCATATTATCTTTTATGATAGTCCGTACTTTTTGTAAAAACATCTCAACACAACAGTTTCGATTGAACTAAACATCATATAAGAATCCATTTATTTATTATTTCATTTTTAACCTTTAATCCATTATTAATTTTTAATTAAAACGATTAATCTTTTAGCTATATA